CATAGAGTTGCCTGGGGTGGGAGGAAATGGAATCCCAGACTTTTGTGCATGGGCCCTGGCCCTGAAGTCCTGGGATGGATGCCCTCCCAGCTCCCAGCGACTCCCCTCACTGCAGGCCCTTCTTGCAGCCTCCCAGTGGGCGGTGCCAGGGCAGGTTTCAGGCTATAAAGGGCTCTTGGCTCCCTCGGTCTGAGGGAGCGCCATCTCTGCGACAGTGTCCCTGCCAGCCACAGCCAGCCTGGGGCACTGCCCATAGCCCATCGCCATCGGGCAGGCTCTTCTTTTGGACACAGCTGTCAGCTGTGCTCCTTGAACCTTCTATCGGCAAGTCCATTTTCAGATTGCTTTGGACTGGATTGGGTGTGGGGCAGAAGGAGTTCTGGATTTAGGGGCTTTGATGGAAGAGGGTGGGAAGATTTCCACTTCTGTAAAATAATTCCTTCTGACCAAAGTGTCTGGAGCCGAGGCCTCCCCAAGTGAGGAGTGTGGTGGGACTTTGCTGCCTACCAGGGAAAAGAGAAAGTTCTTTCCCAGAGGGATATAGATGGGTGGGTGAGGGGCTCCTCCTAGCCAAGCCTGTAGTGGGGTTGGAAGTGAAGAGTCAGGCCTCTTCCAGGTTGAACCTTTTGCACATGGATTGTTACTTATTTTTTAAAAAATTAAAAAAAAAATAGCTGAAGGCACCTGAGTGTGGGTGCGGGGTGGAGGCAAGTGTCCGTAAGGGACAGAGAAGAGAAGCCCGAGGGGTAAATCGGCAGAAACGGAAAGCACCCTCAGGCTTGGTAGCAGTGATCAGCAGGATGGCACCTCCAAAGAGTCTGGGCGCTGGCGGGGTTCAGGCGGGTGGTAGTTTTACAGGGGTCGTTGAGTTCTCTGCATAGCCAGACAGCCCAAAGCCGTACTGGGGAATGAAACAGTTCTTCAGGCTCTCGGGAGGGAGACAGTCTGTAGTACTGGGGAAGATTTTTGTAGTAGTTTGGACAACAGGGGTCCAGCCCTTCCTTCAAGAGCTAGGGCACACTCATGGAGTGTCCTCTAACCTGCCCTTGAGTTTCTGGGCACCAGAGGGCTACCACTGCCCTTGAGGCGCCTATTCTCAGGGAGGGCACAGAGAGGCAGGAAGGTGGGCAAAAGCGCAGAGAGGAACAATGGGGCCGGAGCAGGAATCTAGGGCGACGGGGGCCACTTCTTATCTCCAGGGGTTGTGGTTCCCACCCAAGCTTTGCAAAGGGTCCGGGCAAGACCTGCTTTCCCAGGCAAGGGACCAGGGTCCTTTTAAGCAGGGTGTCCAGGGACCTTGGAGCAGGAACAGAGCCAGCCTAAGACCCTGGATTGGAGAAAGGGGAGCTTCCCAAGGGCCCATGGACCTAGCAGGCCTGGCAGGGAGAACTCTGGGGTGGAATTACCAGTTTTACCTTCCAGCTAAGCTGTCCTCAGACAGCTGGAAGACACTAGGCAATCCCAGCTGGTCCCTAAGTGCCCAGGCATGCCTCCCACACACCATTGCCTGGTCTCTTTGTCCCCAATCTCCTTTTGTTCCCATTTTTACTCACCTCTGGTTAGAGAGATGAGAAGTTTGGAGGTGAAGAAATTGAAGCATCAGCCAGAAAAAAAATCAGGGCCTGAATTATGCAAATTGAATATAAAATGGAGTATTTCCTCTATTCAATAGAGAGTGTCCCAACTCAGGGGATAAGTTCCTTATTGGGAAAGGACGTAGAACAAAACAGTGGGCAGTTTTCTCATCAAACAAACATACAAATCCCTCTGAAAGCAGTGTTGCCTTAAGTGCTGTGTGTAATGTTTGGAGGCGAGCTGCTGGATAACCAGCAGTGTACACGGAGAAGGGTGTGGAAGGGGCACTGTCCTCACTACTTTGTGCGCGAGAGGCTGGGGACACACAGCCACCCTGGTTGTGTCCTGAGGAGGAGGCCTTGAGACAGACCTGTGCCTGCGCAGGGGTTCCTTGAGCCCTCGAGGAGCTTGCTTGTGCCTTCTCTTCAGACTCCGATGGTTCCTGAGGCCTACCCTCATATTCTGTCAGGCCTGTCTACCAAGCCTTGCAAATGTCACCTAGGTAAAACTTCCCAGTGTCTCCTGACTGAGCTCCTAGTCTGCTCTGGCTGATTGCAAGGTGCCTGGAGTGCTCTGGGGACACTCCCTGAATCCAGGCTTCCCTGCACTGCAGGTAAGAGTTGGAGGCCCTAGATTACCTGGGCTGTGGAAAGGGTTTTGTTAGTGTCGCTGAGATTAGCAGCACTGGCCTGGAAGGGGAGGGGTACTCATTTGGAGACAAGCGGTTCATTTCAAGTTCCAGATGACAGAAGTATTCTGACCGAGAGCCCTGACCTGCCCCGGGAGACTGGGTTGAGTCCTAGCTTAGGAACAGTCCGGAAGGCAATGGCTATACTCTGTGGCCTAAGGTGGAGCTGGAAATGCTTGTGTGTTCAGAGACCAGGATTCAGGTTAATATGCTCAGAGGTTTGTTTTAGGGCAGGGTTGCATGCACTTCAGCAGCCCACTGAGGGCACACTTCTGTGGCCAGAAAAGGTGCCTCGTGGCCTCCCTCTGTACAGCTAGCCTCTTTGCAAGCTCTCAGACACAGCAAGCTGATCGGCCTGCAGCACCTCCAAGAAGCCTTGTACGTTACTGCTTGCATTTCTGCCTCTCTGCTCCTCAGTGCTCACTGGGACTTGAAGAGAGACACTTCCCATTAGGAGATACTGCAGCTGTTGCTGTGGGGCTATGTGTCCCTGTGGACACTCTCCAGGACCTCACTTGGCAGCTCAGCAATAAGGAGTTAGAATTCCCTCCATGTTCCCTCCCTACTTCACACTTGAGGAAAGAAAGGCCCGGCAGAGAGGAGCAGAAAAGTCTCCAAAACCAAAGAGTGGGCGGACATGCTGGGAAGGACGGACTTTTGACCCCAGAGTGGGAAGGTCCTATAGTTTTGGTTTGGTGGCTTAAAAAGACCGTGGACAGGGTCTCATGTGTGTGTCTTTGTACAGGTTCAGTACCTGCTTTCATGCAGCCTCACTGTGTACCTGTATCTGCTGTGCTTGTGTCCCTCCGCCCACGGGTTGATGGCCCTGTGGTGGGTTTACCCTAAAGTCACTTTGCCTGTTTCATCAGGAAAAACAGAAGGTGGTACTTCTGGGAACCTGGCCATATTCTTAGGGTACCTCAAGACAGAAGGCCCCAAACACTATTTCCCCAACCAACTTGGCCAAGCAGTCCTATAAAGTGAAATGTCCCCTAGGTGGACACTCCCCAGCTCTTTATTTCTGGAGCCATAGTGGTTCTGACAGAACTAACCTAGTGTCCAAGTTCCAACTGTTCTGTGGGGATGGGCAGCCCAAGGGTTCTTAAACTGAAACCCTAGGAATGCCTTCAAATTGGCTGTTTAGAGCTGGTGTTCACTGGAAAAGACAATTAGGGAAGGGAAGCTGAGATAGTGTCCCCTGCGGATGTAGTACTAGAACTGTCCACCAGGTGGGGTTCCAGGGCAGAGAGTGAGCCTGAGCTGACCTTGTGCTTGCCGTCTGAGCCGGGCTGGAAGAGCTCTGCACAGTCTGTGACTGTGTCAGTCGGCAGCGCTCTCCAAGCAGCACACAGGCACGCATCATAGACACTCTCGCGCCTTTTCTGCGAGCGAACTCTAAAACAGATCCAGCACTGTTGATGCAGGGCACGATTAACAGGGTAGGGTGGGTTAATTTCCTTTACAAGCTCAGCACCCTAAACTACAGTTGGGGTGTCTAGAATGATTTATTATTATTATTTGCTCCGGGGGTGTGGGAGTGGAACAAGGGGACAAGAGAACTGGGGGAAAACCGGAAGCACCGGACAGGGAGAGCCAGGCACTGCTCAGGCGGATGTCGGGGCTGGTGTGCACAGCTCGGTCCCAGGCTCTGAGGAGAGGCCATGGGACAGGCAGATCCATGGATGCCCAGACACATGCAGCTATGGAGAGACTCCTAAAGCCATTTCTCTCCACCAAGGTCGGGTCGATGCCAGGCGGGAGCACACGCAGGTGCGGCCTGGAGTCACAATCACACCTCACACAGGCACACAGTCTGGGTTCTGAGAAGGTGGCCGCTCTCACAGACATGTTTATGTATTCAAACGTGCAGGCCTCCTAGTTGCAGGGGCCACGGCATTTGTCTCGGGCGCTGGACATTTTCCGGGACCAGTATTGCAGTTAGTTAGGACAATGCAGGCTGCCGACTTGTATCTACTGTGTGTGTGTGTGTGTGTGTGTGTGTGTGTGTGTGTGTGTGTGTCCTCGGAGGCGTTGGAGAGGAGTTCAGCGTCAGCAGCCCGGGACAAACACAGCCGACTGATGACCCTCCAGGCCTTGTAGGGTAAGAAACAAGTGGACCTTGACAACTGAGGTTTGGAGACACGGAGATTAAGAATGAGGACCCTGCTAGAGGCAATAGGAAGGGAATGAGGCACATGTGGTACTTGCTGTCTGCATCTGCGGGGGTCCCGCTGAATCCGCGGGATGGGGTACCAGTAGAGACTTCTGGAAACCCCCAGCCAAGGAGGCAGTCGGACAAGGACCTTTCTCAAGGGGACTGCTGAAAACTGGAGGACGGGTTCGAGAACCTAGGAGGGAGAAAAAGCGGGAGCGAAATAGTTTAGTAGCCAAATGGGCACCAAGACAGTGCGCACTGCGCGCTCGCTCGTGTGTGTGTGTGTGTGTGTGTGTGTGTGTGTGTGATGTGGTGTGTATGTGTGTGTGTGTGTGTTCGCGCGAGCGCGAATGTGTGTGCACGCGCGCTGGGGCGTGTGTCTCATCTCATCTGTCTGTAGGTGCTGGACTCGGCGAGACGCGGGCGAGAAGGAAAAGAAGGCGCGAGGTGAACTGAGTTTGATCCTGAGGCGCCTACAAGTGGGTCCCCGGCGGGCGGCGGGCGGGGCAGCTGGGCGGGAGGCCGGCGGGAGCTCACACGCTCGGCAGCCGGCCGGCCTCTCACCACGCCTCCCGCTTTGTGAGCGCGCCCAGGGGGGGGGTGCTGGCTGTGTGCCCACGGCGCGCCTCCCGCCTCTATATAAACACACGCATCGCCTTGCCTTGGATCAAATCAGATTGAGAGACGCTTTTCAAACCACCAGCCCTGAAGTCCTGCCTTCTGCTTTCCCCCTCTTTCATCCCCTTTTGCCGTTCTTTCTTTCTTTTTTTCCCCCTCCTCTCTTTTCTTTTCCCCAACAGCAACTCCAGAGCCGAGAGACTGCGTCCCGGGACAGACTGCCTTTTCTTAATTGATAGATAGCCGGGCTCGGGTTTTCCACCTCCTCCCCCCAACCCCACCCCGCCTCACCCCTCCCTCCCGCTGCCGCCGCCCCAGCGCCCGCCCGGGGCTCTGTCGCCGGCTGCGTCCCTTCCCGGCTGCGGCCCCGCCGACTCCGCACTCGCGCTCAGACCAACGCGCCCGCCTCGCCCGCCTCTGGGTGCCGTGGCCGCTCCAGCCTCCGCACTCGCCTCATCTGGGGAGTCTTTTCCCAAGCCCCCAAAGTTTCTGGGTTCGTTGGAATTTGGGGTTCCGATTTTTTCCTTTTTATGCACCTAGGAATTTTGGAGGAATACTTTTGATAAATTGATCGCAATTTCCGCTAGCTCTCGGTTCCCCTTATTTTTTTCCCACCTCGCTTTGAGCAGGGAAGGGGGTTCCGAGAGGCTCCTGGTGGATAAAGTTTTCCAACGTTTTTCTAGTGTGATGGTTGAGGGGGAGAGCAAGCTCACCAGCTTGACTGAGCTCCATCTCACCTTCCCAGAACAGCCCTAAGCCCGCATAAAGGGACAAACAAACAAACAAACAAACAAAGTTACACCTAGAGTCGCCTCGTGTCTTCTCTCTTCTTCCAGGAAATCTTTTTCCTCCCTCTCTTCGACCACCTCGCAGCCTCCAGACCCCTTCTCTCGGCCCCATCTCCTGGGTTTCGCCGAGGGGTGCCAGGACCCCAGGCTTCAGCCTCCCCTCCCTCGTCACTCTGGTCCGGCCCTCCCCTCCCCCTTCGCGGTTCTCGCAGCCAATCCCCCGAGCGGCCGCCAACATGCTTTTTGAGGGCTTGGAGCTGGTGTCGGCGCTGGCCACCCTCGCCGCGTGCCTGGTGTCCGTGACGCTGCTGTTGGCGGTGTCGCAGCAGCTGTGGCAGCTACGATGGGCTGCTACCCGAGACAAGAGCTGCAAGCTGCCCATCCCCAAGGGCTCCATGGGATTCCCGCTCATCGGAGAGACCGGCCACTGGTTGCTACAGGTAAGCGCACTCTCGCCCAGCTGCTCCTAGAGTCCGCTAGCCGCGGGTGCCCGGCCAGGGGGCGCCGGTAGCTCGGACACTCGGACGCGCCGGTTCCCGCCCCGCCCCTTCTCTGCCTCAATCGGCGCCGCCTGGGTTTCCCCAGCTCGCCTGCAGCTCGGCTCGGAGTCCTCAGGCTCCCGGTGAGCTAGTTCAGAGGGCTGATGACGGTGTGGGGTGGGTGAGCAGAGAGGGCTCCCAAATATGAAGCGCCTGGATTTCGGGCTCCCAAGCAGGGGTGCAGCTAGGTCTGCAGAGCAAGTCTGGAGGGGCGTCTTTTTGCCTCTGTCTGTGTTAGCGTCCTGGGTATCTGCCTAGACGCTGAGAGGTAAAGGAGAGGGCCGGTGGCAGCTTGGAATGGTAAGACCAGGATCCTGCAATGTATCCTGCTCAGGTACAACTGGACTGATACAAGGTGCTACTCACAACTCGTGTGTATGTGTGTGTGTGTGTGTGTACACGCGCGCACGCGCAAGTGTGTGTCTGTATGATGTGGTGAGAGAGGAAAAAAGGTAACCTAAGGAAAATTCGAGGCAAGAGAGCCTAGAGCTCTCAGCTTTCGGGGAAAAGGGTCTGTTTGCTTATTGGGTGGGGACAGTTTAGCAGAGGGAAACTGGGAGAGGTATGTAAGAAATCCAGATTGTGCCTATGCAACTGGACGCCTCATAACTCCACTCTGACGACAATTGGGGCCAGGCCCGTTGAGGACCAGACCCAGGTAAGTAGCAGGCAGATTAACCTGGAGTTAACCTCGTCCAGTGCTAGACAATCGCTTTTGCAATTTGATACACCCCAGGTTTTTTTTGGAGGGGGTGTACCTCTGGGGTGACAGCGGGAGGTGAGTTTGTCAGGCGGGTGATCACAGACATTAGAAGCAGCCGGAATATCCCTAAACAGACAACCCCAACTCCTCAAAAAGAGAAATGAAAGATGAGCGCACGCGCGCCGACCTATGGGTTTAGACGTGCGAAAGCTTGGCTTGAAATTAATAGACGCGTGCAGTCAGTGCGAGTGAGCGCGCGCGCGCGCGCACACACACACACACACACACACACACACAAAAACACACACACACAAAACCACCGCACCCAGTAGTTGGGGACCAAGTGACAGGAGAGGGGCCAGTATGGAGGGGCTTGAGATATTCCCCAGGATTCTCCATGACTCATAGTGGGACCATTTCTTTGGGGGTGGGGTGCTTGTCCAATCGGTGGGATTCACTTCAACAAATCGGACGATCCTTAGAGACAAAATCTCTTTTGCCTGTTGTCTCCACATTTAAAGGGTTAACTGTGGCGGTGGTCCCGGCTTTAGCCGGGAATTTAGAAAACAAAATAACTCAAGTGGGCAACGGTTCCCGCCTGTTTAAGGCAAAGCCTCAGAATCATCGTCCCCATCCTGTTTCCTGATTGCCCCTCCCCCATGTCCCTTGTCCTTTTTCTCAATCTCACCAGGGCCCTTGCGGGTGTGGTGCAGCCAGCCCAGAAGTTAGAGAGGTACCGTTCGGCCGAGCATCCGCGCCCCTGGGGGTCAGATCCCCGGAGAGGAGGGACCCAGGTTGCTTAAGGGGTTAAAGTGAACCCTCCGAATCCGGTGTTTTTTTCTGAGTAATTTATCAGATTTTACGGGGGACCTCCAAGGGCTCTCGGTTTCCACTAAGCACCATCTAAACAGAGCCCAGGGCTAAAAATACATTTTTGTATAAATTGGACTCGCGGCCCGAACGGCCGCCCCTATGAAAGTCCTCTTTGTGAAGGCCGTGGAAACGGCGGACAAATAACTCTTTATTAAAGCCACAAAAAACGCACTTTAATTATAGTTAGGCAGATCAGAGGCGGGGGCGAGGGGCGAGGCGGCGGCGACCTCGGAAAATTCACAACCCAACTTTTGTGTCGAAAGAAAAGAAAAACAGAGGCAAAGACGGGAGAGGAGAGACGGAGTGAGACCGACCGAGGGAGACTGCGCGGCAGACGAGGACGGGATCCCCGCTCTGAGCCCCCCTCTGCCGCACCCCACCTCCGCCCGACTTCTCTTAAAGGAGCCGGCGCCGTCTAAAACGGCGTCTGGATGGGGGCGTCCCCGACTCGGCTCCTCCAGGTGGCGCGGGGGATCCCGCCTCGCTCCCTGTCGCGCGCCGGGCCCAGAAGCATGTGGAAAAGCCATTAAGAATCTGGGTTCTGTAGTCACTTTTCGCATCTGGGGCGTGTTCACTTCTAACTGGAGTATAGTTTCCCTGGGAGAAAGGAAAGTAAAGGGGGTGGTGTCAACCTAGGAAAGGGGAGCTTTCTATCTCTCGGTGGAGGGAGCAGACGTGTCCTTGGGAGACCACGACGCGAAGGCGGGAGCCCGGCCACAGTTCTGCAGTCCGGAGGGGCGGACAGGTGGCTCTCCGCCACTTTGCACTCGGTGCACCCTGGCGGGAGAAGGGTTAAGGCAGACTGGGTGGCGAATGCGATGAAGGTTTCCGGCACCACAGGCCGCTAACTGTGGAGCACAGGGCTCGCCCAGGGGCCCCCGAGATCCGGTTACCTGCGCGGGTCACCGCGCCCCATCCCACCGCCGTTCATAAGCACCTTCCTGGTGCTCCAGTTCCGAATTTCAGGGCGGTGACGAAAGTTCGTCCCAGTTATTCCCTGGACAAATGTTTCAGGAGAGTCGTGGCTCTGGGCCCAAGACTCCACCCTGCGGAGCCCACGGAGGGCCACACCGGAGCAGAGAGGAAACTCCAACCCCCATCTCTGGGGACAGCCTCCGGGCACGCACAACTCGCCGCTATAAATAATCTTTGGCCTGCGGCCACCCCGCGGGGTCTCGCCAGCCCGTGGCCTGGAGCCTGGAAATATTTATTCCGAGAGGCTCCGCCGCGCAGGGGTAGGGGATCAGGCTCCAACTTCAGGTCCAGCCGTCGGGGATAGCCCCCCCCCCCGCGCTGCCGCAAAGCCATTACTAAAAGCAGCCTTCCGTGGGTGCCCCTGCATCTTCGTGCTCCCACATTATTTATTATCCTCCAGGCCCCACTTCCCAGTCCTAATGCACGCCGTGAAAAATAAAACCCGAGAGAGAGAGAGAGAGAGAGAGAGAGAGAGAGAGAGAGAGAGAGAGAGAGAGAGAGAGAGAGAGAGAGAGAGAGAGAGAGAGAGAGAGAGAGAGAGAGAGAGAGAATGACAGGAACCCAAGGAAGGGTGCCTAGGGTGGGGCTGGATGCAAGGTCCTCTGTGAGCCCTGAGAGGCTTCTGGTGTATTCCTGCAGGGTTCTGGCTTCCAGTCGTCGCGCCGGGAGAAGTACGGCAATGTTTTCAAGACACACTTGCTGGGGCGGCCGCTAATCCGCGTGACCGGTGCGGAGAACGTGCGCAAGATCCTCCTGGGAGAACACCAGCTAGTGAGCACTGAATGGCCGCGGAGCGCACGCGTGCTGCTGGGCCCCAACACGGTGGCCAATTCCATTGGCGACATCCACCGCAACAAGCGCAAGGTAAGAGCTCAGACCTTGCATTAGGACTACCTTCCAAGGGCAAGGCGCACAGAAATCTGAGCTCCTCTGCATAGACGTTTCCAGCTCGAATCCGGGCTAGAATCGGGCCCCCTTTGCTGGCCCACTGCGCGGTGGGCATCACTAGGGTCAATGGGGCCTGTCTGGATATGGTCTGGACAAAGCTTGAACGTGTGGGGTCTGCGGTGACAGATGCGGTTGCTCAGTGCACCACTCTACTGGAAAAGGAAGGGGGCGGGCCGGGCGGTTCCACCCCCCCCACACACACACACTCCCCAACCCCCATTTCTCAAAGTTTCCTCCAGGAAAGCCCCAAAGACAGATCGTGCTAAAACCAAACCTGGCCTAGCAGCCACAGGTTGCCTGGAAGGCGTCTCTGTCGTGTGTGTTGTGGGCAGCGGTGTCCTGGTCTAGCCAGGGGAATCGGTTGGGTGGGCTTGGAACCCCTGCCCTGGCAGGCACGCGGACCAGTGGTGGTGAGGACAAGGGGTGGAAGCGCAGGCTAGGTGCGCTAAGTTTCAAAGCGCACCCAGCTTCCAGAAAGAGGAAGAGAAAGTGGGTGTTTATCCGGTGGATTTCCCGAGCTAGAGCAGAGACGCGCAGCAGGCGAGCCAGCGCGCAAGCTGCACGCCTCCCCGCCCCCTCCAGCTGCGCCGCCGCCACCGCTGGGCTGGGAGCGCGGGCGGCACGTGCTGTTTGAACTGCAGTAACCCGAAGGCTGAGCCTGCCGGCGGGCGGGCAGGCGGGCGGGGCGCCGGCCTTGGGCTGGAAGCCGCCAGAAGGAAGGCTGCAAGGCTCCTTCACTGTTTTTTCCATTGGGTCAGAGGATTCGCTCAGGTTTGGAACCTTAAAAGAAGAAAAGGGGCCTCTTGCCTCGGGGAGGAGCTGTGGAACAAGGGATGGGGAAGAGAGGGGACCATGGGGACCATGCCTCTTGCCAGCAACCCTACTGTTAGGTGGTCTGAGGAGTAGTGGGGGTAATCATTGATACAGCTTCTGGGTTTTAATGTTCTCTGAACCGTCCTGTAAGGGTCGTTCTCCTTGGCAGGCACAAGAGAAAAAAAATCAAAGGAAGACGTGCAGGTTTTTCAAGAATTCCAAGGAAGGGCTTCTGAAGGCCTGAATGGATGCTGGAAGCGGTTAACACAGTTTGCTGGCAAATGGGGGAGGGGCTGGGGCAGCGATACCCCCCTTTAGACTCCATCACAGCTTCTTTGCTTGTTTCTTTGTTAAAGAGCTAAGAGACAGAGAGCTGAGACCTTCGGGAACCCAGCTCCAAGCTACTGTTTCCTCACTTCCTTCAGAGGCTCAATGCAGAGGGATCTCAGATTTAGACTGAGATTTGAACCCCCAAGGTCATGGACTCAGCCTGCTGGGGCAGCAGGAAGCTGGGGTAGGGGCACGGTGCTGAGAAGAAAGAAGAAGGTTTGACCAGGACCAGGGTGTCAGGCCCAGGGTAGCACACTGGCCTCCGAGCTTGGCGAGTGCCTGGGAAGCTCACATTCTCCACCTGCCTCCCCCTGGGTTGCCCTCTGACTTCCAGGAGCCAAGTGGGAAAGGCCAAGGTTTGAGTCCACATTGTCTACCAGCGGGCAAGGGGACAGGACAGATGAACAGTGCCAGGGGAGGCATGGGACAGGAAGAGAGCATTCTGATGAGGTGGGAAACAGGACATGCGCTGGGACTCTGCAGTCCCTCTCTCCTGAGTTCCAGGCTTCCTTGCTCTTGGGGATAGAGAAGGTCAGAGGCCTGAACATATTGACCCAGGCTCCAGAGACAAAACCCAGAAGGGATATCTGCTAATGTGTGCATGGTTTGTAGTGGTTGCATGGGTAGGATTCCTCTCTAGTCACGCTAAAGCGTGATCCATCCGTGGTGCTGTTTGCGGAGTTCATAGGTACTAAGTAGGAGGGAGCTTGGTCCTTGACCCCAGGAAGTAGAACTTGATAGGAAGGACAAGACTTGAATACTCAGGGGCCATGTTCCTGAATGTCCAAGTTGCCCTGAAGAGATAGGTCAGTTTTGAGGATGCAAAAGCCTGGAGGGCACCTCATGGCCAGGACGAGGCCAGTGCGGCTCCGGCCTGGTTGGGATGACGGTGCGGGAAGTGGGGCCCAGGTGTGCTGGGGCATGGCTGGCTGAGAACTAGAAAAGTCACTGTTTCCATTAAGGTGGGTGACTACTGCTTCTCTGGGAGGTCTAACCAGATGTGTGGGGAAAGGGCTCCTCACAGGGATTGCAGCATGCACTCCACATGTTGGCCCCCGCTGCCCTGGTGGTCTAGGACTAGCAGGGGTGGGGTTGCCTGGAGGAGTCCAGAGTATCCCCTAGTTTGATTTCATCACCTGTGGAAGCCAGGCCTCACATTCCCTCCCTGTCTCTTCCTTTGGAACCCCTCCCAAGCTGGGGCGGAGGGTCCTATCTGACAGATTGTACAGAGTGGCTGGCTTACTGCCCAGGAAGGATGGGTGGAGTCTGGTTGAAGAGGTAAGGACAAGAAGTTGTAAGAGACAAAAAGAAGGCAGCACATCTGGAAACCTCAGCTCTGCAGCCCCATTTTCTCTGTGCGTTTGTAGATGGAGCTGGGTCTCAGCACTGAGAGACTTCGGTGTGCCAAACAGGGATCCCAAGACCCCCTACAGTCAGAAAGATGCAAGAGTAGGTTTCCTGCCCAGTAGGTGAGCAGAGCCCAGAGTGGTCCTTGGTAGTAGAATCATGGGGGAGGCCAGCTGCACCCCACTAGGCTCTGGATGCCTCTGTCTCCTTACACAGGGAGCCACAGACATGCCCAATGGACCCAGGCGTGGCTCAGGGCAGAAGCTCCAAGCTAATTCGATGTCCATGGGTAGGTAGGGAGCATAGCCAGACAGCCCAGCCCTAGGGGAACAAAGCCTTTGTCCTGCCAGATGAAGTCCTTCATCCAGAAATTAAGGTAGCTGTAGCAAGTAGGCTCAGGGGAGGAGGCAGTGGCAGGAGTGGATCTCTTTGAAGGTCAGCGGGGGAGGAAGCCCAGGCTAGCTGCCAGAGTGTCTGGGTGCCCATTCCTCCCTCTGCTTGCCCTTGCTACAAGGAAGCAGGCAGGGTGAGTGTGGGGGCCTCTGCTTCCTGTATCCCTTCCTTTCTGTGGCCTTCTCCTGATGTCTCCTTGCGGTCCCACTGATGACCCCTCACCCTGCTAGCTTTGGAAAGCAAATGTGGCCTTGGTGGGCGAGGGGAGGCTCAGCTGGAGTCTTTTCTGGCCCTGAGCCCTGATGCCAATCATTGTAGTCATCCTGGGCTCCCCTGGCCCAAAAGATTGATGGGGGGAGGGGGATGGAGGATCCTACCACAGGGTATAGACAGTTACTCTGCTCTATGACCTTGAGAAGTCCTTCTCCTATGGCTCTCAGATTTCCAAGGGGGTTTTCGGGGCTGGAAGATGGTAAGCAACTGGGCAGCCAGTTGACCCCTACTCTTCCAATACTTTGGTTGGGAGTCTGTGGAAGAGTTTAGGTAGGAGGGGTACACACATGGGGAGGGGGACGTGTGCAGATAGGGAAGGGGGACGCTTGGCCAACCCTGTATGACCAGAAGGGATGAGTGAGGCCAGCCCTAGGTGAAGGGGAAGCCAGGTGGCATTGCAGGCAGCTAGAGAATGACACCCTCTTTGGTCCCCCTCCTCACTGGAGTATAAAGTACACACCTTGGCGTCGCCCCTATGCAGACCGCTGCCCGCCTTCTGCTATTCTTTCCACTGGACAGGCTGAGGCTCCGGTGGCTTGGCTGGGTGGCCTGCCTGGCCCCCACCCCTCCTGGGCAGCCGCTTCCATTCCTCCTCAGCTGAGTCACTGGCTGGGCAGTGGGCTCCCTCTAAGGCCCTGCCCACCGCTGTGGCTGCCCACCGACTTGTACATCCACCCTCAACTGCTCACTGACCAGGCGGGTACTGCTCCTGTGAGGCTGTGGGATTTTACAAAGTGCCCGCTCATCCCAGGGACACCAGATTAGAGGCAAGAGGAAGTCTGGCTGAGAGAGAAGGTATCTGTAAAGACAATTAGAGGGGATTTAGACTTTGACAAGCTCAGATGAACATTCTAGGCCTCATACAACCAGGTTCTATCCACAGGGAGATAGGCAGACACGGAAGGTAAATATGTTATTGAGGAGACAGAAAGGGCCAGGGAATATTCTCCAAGGACATTTAGAATATAGCAACCATCCTCCCTCCGGGCCTTCTTGTGATTCTATAGGTACCCTGAGGTGGGTGCCTGGGGTGTCCTAGGACCCTCTGTCCTTGCCCTCCCAGCAGCCATCCCTTGTAAAATCCATACCTGCTGCTTGATCGGCAGAGCTCTGTTGGGGCCTGGCTGATTCCCATGGATCTTTGTGTGGCATTCTTGGCTTCATTCTGGGAATTCCCAGGGAAGACCCCATGAAAGACAAAACAACCTGGCCACTGTGTTGCCTGTGGTCAGGGCCAGTGCTCCTGGGCCAGAACTGTCTTCTTAGGGAGCTGCTCCCAGGCACCGCCCCCTGTGCCCCAGGCCTGACCCCAGTGGCCAGCAGCCTCAGATCCAACAAACTGATGGGGCCCAGGCCTCTCCCTGCCCTGGCAGGCACCTCTGCCTGTCCTCCGTGGTGGCTGGTGGTTTCTGGGCTGCCTGGCTTTGGGAAGTGCCTGCCTTGTTAGCCCTGGGCACAGACCCAGAGATGTGAACTTGGCATCCTCCCAGAGTCTGCCTGGGAGGCCCCTGTGTCTCTAGAGCAGCTGAACCAGAGACAGGGCCATGAAATGCCTGCTACCAGCCTTTGCTTGGTTCCCGTGCCTGTGCTTTCTCCACCTTTCGTAAGGGAGCAGGAGGAGAGCCTCCAAGGAGAAACGGGGAATATCTGGGTGGGAATGGACTTTGAGACAGCTAAGTGGACTCTTCATAAAACCGATGGGGGAACCAGACCCAGAGGAGCAGCAAGCCAAGAGACAGGGTCTGGTCTTTCACTACTCTCCTCACAGCTCCAGGGGGAGAGTGGCCATGGTTCTTGACCTTTCTCAGGACCCCTTCTCCTCTTGAGGGCAAGTTTGGACCCCCTGCCATGGAGTTCCTTACTTAACTCCAGACCCTCCATGTCTTTCTGGGCTGTCCCTGCCCTCCTGGGCCCCTCAGGCCAGAGAAGTGATTCAGTTAGCTGTCGCTAGATGGCGCAGGGAATGTAACCTAAGGGGCACAAGGGGCTTGTTCATGATCCCAGTGGGCCCTCTCAGGAAGCTTCTCTATCAGCCACTGGGGTAGCCTGTGTAGGCTTCCTAGGGCCTTGGGTGGTGTGAGTATGGGGTGCCAGGCTGTCTCCACAGGGCTGGGGTGTCATGGAGCTGTGCTGCTGGGAAGGGCTTCTTCTTGGGAACGCAGAAATAGGTGCTAAGATGCTGTGTGTCTTGAAAATATCCCAGAGGTCTCTTGGATAGGTCTCACCATCTTATGGATGAGAAACCAAAGCCTTGGAGTAAGCATCATGACCACAGGCACACACTGAGATGGGGGACAAATCCCTCATTGTAAGTTAGGCCTCTGGACATCCAGTTGGACCTTCCTGGCCATTTTTTGCTGTAGTATCCCGATGGCTTGCTTGGCCTTGTCTGGTTCTGGTGATAGTGGCCTCCACGCTGTCCCTGCAGCACATGCCACCTTTGGGCACTGGGTCATTTCCTACTCTCTCCCTTTTCCAGTTTACTGGTTTTCAGCCAGTGTGGCCTCGTTATCCCCTCTCCCCCCATAGCCAGCTTCTTCAGTGTGCTCTCACAGTAAGGTATCCCCCGGCCTCCACACGGTTTCCTGGCGAACCCCTAGAGCTCTGTTCCCTGTAGAGCCCTCTGGTGATCGGTAGTCACTGATTGGACTCCTGAGGGTGAGTGCGCACTTTTCCACTCCCCTTTAAGACACCTTGGCTAAAGGCTGGACCTGCTTCTAAGAACACCAGGACAAGGGCACAGACACCCAATACACTCTTCCTCTACAACCCTCTGACCAGAAGTAGCGGCTGAGGGCCCCTGCTAGGAAATCCCCCAGAACCCCCCCAAACTGGGCAAGGTGTGAGTGACCTGGAAGACCTCCCGCCACCCTTGTTCCTCTAGGCTGTCCCTTGGCAGTGGATCTGGCCTGGGCAGTGCAGTCCTCTGCCCCTCACTGGCCTCCCTCCCCTCCCTCTGCCCACTGGGAATTGGGGAATGAAAGTGCTATTGTGCGAAGTGGCTGGGCCACTGAAGGGCCAGCACTGTTATTTCTGCAAACCAGCCCTCCCATTAGCCATGCAGGGCGCACGCCAGGAAAATGTTACCTTTTCCTCCATGAGCTGACTGCAGGGGAAATTCTCACATTTACAGTTTGTGCGGTGGTTGTGTTTGGGGGGCAGACGGGAGGGCAGTGTGCTTGTGTGGTTTCGCACACACGGGCGGGTGGGTTTCCTCCCCTTCACTCTCCCTCTTTTCTAAGCTCTAGGGGTACCTCCTACTCTGGACTTGTACTAGGGATATAAGTAGACCCACAGGCTGTGTGTAAATAAACAGACACCCTCCCTCTCTTGGTCAGAGGGTAGCTGTGTGAAAACATGCTCATGTTGGGGTGGAGGCAGACCACTTCCCAGCCAATCATGAGGATGGGTGCAAGGCCAGGAAATGGGAACCTTGATGGTCCTAGAAGATGCTAGAATTAAAGGTTCTTGTGCCTTTGCAACCTCCTGGGATAGAATGCTATTGCCTCTAGGCCTGGGCACACAGTAGATGTTTGGATGATACAGCTTCTGGCAATTTGGGTCCCCAGAAAGTCCTGCTTTCTGTCTAGCTATAGGTTCTCGATCCTGCCTGCCAGTGGAGCAGAGGGAGCCGTATACTTATTTCCCATGTGTTCTGTGACCAGACACCTGCGTCCCTCCTCTCCTGACGCTTCTACCCAAGGTCCAGGGACTCGGACAGTCCCTGGACAGGAGTGCAGAGTCCTTTGTGTGGCCCCACCCTAGCCCCTGTGGTGCCCCAAGGCTTAGAGAGCCTCCCACTCTCTCACAGACACAGGCGGACAGTGAAGGCTCAGTACAGGGGACTGCACAAGGGAGCTGGGTTAGAGCCACCCCAGGGAGCTTAGTGGGAGGGGTGTGGACAGCATTTCGCCTGGCTGCAGGTTCCTTACCACCTGACTCCCACTTCAGGTCTTCTCCAAGATCTTCAGTCATGAGGCACTAGAGAGCTACCTGCCCAAGATTCAGTTGGTAATCCAGGACACACTCCGGGCCTGGAGCAGCCAGCCTGAGGCCATCAATGTGTATCAGGAGGCCCAGCGACTTACCTTCCGGATGGCCGTGCGTGTACTGCTGGGTTTCAGCATCCCCGAGGAGGACCTGGGCCACCTCTTTGAGGTGTACCAGCAGTTTGTGGAGAATGTCTTCTCTCTTCCTGTGGACCTTCCCTTCAGTGGCTACCGAAGGGTGAGTACCCGCTGTCTGGGAAGATAGGGAAATGCACCGCCGGACAGGTGCTGGGGCGGGGGGCAGGGAGCACAGGGCTTGGGAACAGACAGATGAGATCAGGGATGGCAACAGGATGGGCCTGGAGCCTTTCCTATATTCCAGAGGCTTAGAAAGAGGAGCTGATGGTCCATTCTCCCCTAGGGCATCCAAGCTCGGCAGATCCTTCAGAAGGGCCTCGAAAAGGCTATCCGTGAGAAGCTGCAGTGTACCCAGGGCAAGGACTACTCAGACGCCCTGGACATTCTCATTGAGAGCAGCAAGGAGCATGGCAAGGAGATGACCATGCAGGAGCTGAAGGTAGGTGTGCATTCCACGCCCACCATGAACTCTTTACTCACTTCCCTCTCCAGAGCAAGAGTCGGCCTGGCTGCCTTCACTGCAGTCAGCTCCCTGAGCAGTAGTGGCAGTAACTGCCCCTGGCCCCGCGGTGCTGAGGCAAAAGCAGAGTGGCATCTGTGCCCTTGCTCTGAAGGACACCTGGGACTCTTCCGGGCTTGGGGTTGTGTGTACCATGTCCTGGAGTGACCAGGCCCCATAAGTTCTATCCCTACTCATATCCATCTCTGTTGTTCTTAAGAGGGTTTTGAGCAATGACCCTTAGATCTACAAACCAGCTCTCAGAGGCCTGTTGATGCCTCCCATTGAGCCTATCCCTGGGTTATTCTCTCAGTTCATTGCATGATCCCGAGAAGACGCATGCCCAGAGCCATGCACTGGAGGCCAGCTCCAGACTCCAGAGAGCTTTGATTGTATATGGACTCCTTCCTCTTACAGCTTCTCCAGTCCTGCACTGTCCCACCACCTGAACATGGCTGGGCCTCAGTCCCTTGGCTCTGCAGGAGTTCCTGTCTGGTGGTGGGGGCGTCTCTTCCATTTGAGAGGACTTGTTCACCACCCCACCTGCACCCCCATTCTGCACCCCATTACCTGATATCTACAGACTTCCCTAAGAAACTGGGGAGAAGCTGCTGTAACCTCATTACCCAGTACCCAAGCATTGGGATGAGGGGACCTCTGGGTTTCACTGCAGTCCCCTCTTAGGTCCTCCTGGATGTTGCATTATGCTGCTTCTATTATGTGTGCCTGCCCATCTGACCACCTTTAAGGCATCCCTCTTCTGGGGATGGAGGAAGAAGCTGGGGGCATGGATACCTAGTTACCTCTCTCTCTCTCTCTCTCTCTCTCTCTCTCTCACACACACACACACACACACACACACACACACACACACACACACGCACGCACGCACACGCTGCATGTCATTTCTCTTCTATGAGCTTATTGCTTTGAGCAGGTTCACTCAGTGCTTGGCCAGCACCAAGCAAGAAGCGACCTTAAGCTCTGGAGCCCGCAGGCCTGTGCTTCTGCCGAGTCACAGCAGTGCGTTTCCACTAGGCTGGAGGTCAGGCTGTGACCTCCACGAGCCTTTTAAGAACGAAACTCAGAGCAGAAGTACTGGTGGTTGCCAGGAGGCAGGTCCCAGGGCAGATGGGCTCTGGGGAAAGCTAGCTTTGTAGGTCCACCCTATGCGGCTGCTGCAAATAACCCAAAACGCCCGTCTCCCTACTGCTGTAGGATGGTACCCTGGAGCTGATCTTCGCAGCCTATGCCACCACAGCCAGTGCCAGTACATCCTTGATTATGCAGCTGCTGAAACACCCTGCTGTGCTGGAGAAGCTGAGGGAGGAACTTCGATCCCAGGGCCTGCTGCATGGTGGTGGCTGTCCCTGTGAGGGCACCTTGCGCCTGGACACACTTAGCGGCCTGCGCTACCTGGACTGCATTATCAAGGAAGTCATGAGGCTCTTCACGCCCATCTCCGGTGGCTACCGTACCGTGCTGCAGACCTTCGAACTGGATGTGAGGCTGGGCTCCAGTGCTGGTTGGTGGTAGTGGGTGACTGAGGCTTTGGCTAAACGCCAGGAAAAGACAGCTGTCTTGGGGTCTTGGGGAGGCGGGAGGCAGAAAGCAGTGCCTGATTCTAGTAGCTTTCGGTCTTGTGGGGGAGACTTACTCCAAATGTCGAACTCAATGAAGCCAACCTGTGTGACCCATATGGAGACTTGAACTAGTGTGCTGGGGGAGTGTCTTTGGTGGGACAGTCCTTGAACATCTCTACCCCCTGCTCCATCTCCCTCCAGGGTTTCCAGATCCCTAAAGGCTGGAGTGTCATGTATAGCATCCGAGACACCCACGACACAGCACCTGTGTTCAAGGATGTGAACGTGTTTGACCCTGACCGCTTCAGCCAGGCACGCAGTGAGGACAAGGATGGCCGCTTCCATTACCTCCCATTTGGTGGTGGCGTGCGGACCTGCCTGGGCAAGCACCTGGCCAAGCTGTTCCTGAAGGTGCTGGCGGTGGAGCTGGCCAGCTCCAGTCGCTTCGAGCTGGCCACCCGGACCTTCCCTCGCATCACTCTAGTCCCCGTCTTGCACCCTGTGGATGGCCTCAGTGTCAAGTTCTTCGGTCTGGACTCCAATCAGAATGAGATTCTGCCTGAGACAGAGGCCATGCTGAGTGCTACAGTGTAGCCTCACTCTGGTCTCAGCCCAGCCCAGCCGAGGGGTGGGGGACGGAGACAGAAACCTGTGGGGTGGGGAGGGGCTGGGTGGGAGGCCAGCAGCCCGCCTGTGTTGTCCTCTGGCCTCTTTTCCAGCAACCCCTCCCCCAATACAAAAGGGCCCCGCCCCCCTCCTGACTCCCGTTCTCTTGGATCTCCACTGCCCCCTAGCTTCGCCAGGGCCAGGGCCAGGGCCGGGCTCTGTGTGCCCATGACAGTGTTAGCGCCAGTTGGCTGAGCTGCAGAATGTGCTTATTACCTTCTGAACCCTCCCTCCCCTTACCCCCTTGTGTTTTCGTTCGTGGTCTGATGGTGGTGAAGGCAGGAGGGAAGAAAAGAGGGGGGAGCATGCTTTGGCACCCTGTACTTCGCGCCCCCACCTCCTGTCACTGCTCAGTTGGTGTCCAGAACAGCCAGCGTCCTGGGGATCCTCACCTAAGCCAGCCTGGGCAGGGCAGGAACTGCTGCCACCCTTGAGGGTGCCCTGTACCAGCCTAACCAGTTTGGACATTGGAAATTACCTATTGCTGCTATTTGTTCTGCCTCCTGACCTTGGGGTACAGGAGCCTTTAGGCTTACTCCCCAGCATCTTCCTTGGTGGCGGCCCTGGGCAGGCACACTGGCACTCCTCCCCGGTGGGACCCGCTGAGCCAGGTGGTTTTTGGCTATAGCTGGACGCCCAGCTGCCCGCCCCTGCCCCCTAGCCCATATTTATTCACCGACCTTGGCTACACTGAGGTCTGGAGCACAAGCCCCCACACACCTGCCAGCCTCTGTCCTAGCTATCCTTTCCAGGGCTTGTATGAGGCAAGAAGACTTGTGTCTGGCTTAACCCAGCTCCCTGGGGAGGGTTAGCAGCCCTCCTCAGCTCCAGGCAAAGGTTCAGTTTCACCTCAGAGTCAGACACCCAGCGTCGCGGCCAGGTGTTTTTGTCACCTCCCCCCCATCTGTCAAAGTCCTGGGCTTGAGCATCTGGGGTCCACCACTTCCTGTTCCCTCACTGACTGCCCCAGCGCCAGTCACTCCCCTAGTGAGGATGTGTTAGGATACGGGTTCTTCTGAAGGAACTTCTTTCTTCCCTTCCTTAACCCCCACTCTCCGCCCCCTTGCTCTTGGGAGAGTCCCCCACCCTGCCCCCATCCTGCACCCACCCCACCCCCACCCCACCCCCAGCCACTGTCTGCTAAGCCCAGCTCAGGGTGTGGGGCGGAGATGAAAGCCGAGAGACTAGACGGAGAGAGCCCTCCCCCTGAGGTGCCTCAGGCCCTGTGGGGTCGGGAGCCACTGCGGGGGAGGGGGGAGGCTGCCGCTGGAAAGCTGTGGAGAAGGAGAGGGGGAAGGAGAAAGGACAGATATAAGTGAGATTTGTCAGAGTTGTTCAGGTGCAGAAGGGCCAAGGGGCAGGCTGGGCAGAACGGGAGGGGCTCCTGTCCCTGGCATTTTGAGGGCTGGCCACTGGGGACCCCTCCTGGGAAGAGTGTAAGGCTCTGGAGAGTCTGTAGGCAGTTTTGTCTGTTTCAGATTCCGGTTTGCTTTTGTTTTCCATCCATTTGCTTTTTCATGTTAGGGAGGCATTGGATTCTCTTCACAAAAACACAGAATGACAGCCCACATCCACCTGACCCTCAGTGGTCACTGTCACGGAAGTTCAGCCACATCTCACTAGCCACACAGGAGAATGTCCTATGTCAGCTTCCCAAACTTCTCACTGGTCTCCTGCATTTTCCTGACAGAACCAAGTCAAGCAAGAGCATTGGAAGAGGGGTTAGCAGCAAAATTAATGTGAAATTAAAAATAAGTGTATTCCTGGATTTTCCTTCCCAGTTCTGAAACAGACCAAGATGTGCAAAGACTCTTCAAGGCTTATGGAATAGGTGCATGCAGCCCCACAACCCTCGGTGTCTGGAAGGTTCATTTCCTGCACGCTAACCCTCCTTGCCTGCAGCCATCTGTTTGAGACTGCAGATGTGGCAGGTAGTAACTCTGGCCTTGGTGAGGGGCAGGGGCACTGGAGGGCCCAACAGGATCCAGGGGCCCTCCCTGGGGAGGGGCCAGTGCAGGGGCTGTGGAGAAGGAAAGGCTGAGGGGGATCCCAGTGAGGGTGGGAGGAAGAAAGATGATCTGCCTGGATGGGTCTCAAAGGGAACAGGCAAAAGGGGCCTCGCCCAGGCACCCGTGGGGTGACTCCTTTCTCACCCCTGTAGATGTGTCTGTTCTGTGTTCGTGTGTTTCATTGTGGTAGCATTAATGGGTGATGTATTCTCACATTCCTAACTATTGTAACTTGACATTAAAAAAGTAAACCCCACAAAACTTCCTGCCACAGGCTTGCAGATTGAAGCACTTTCAAAGTTAGGCGCTGGCGTGTGCGTTCTGGGCAACCATTTTGATCCTGCCCAGATTTCTATTATTTTATACACAAAACTTTTTTTTCATAAATGTTATAATTTTGTGTCTGTCTTTATAAACTATTATAAGTACTATTTTGTTATAATTCAAAATAGATATTTGGTATAAAGTTTTTGCTGTTAAATATTTGTTATTTAGTAAAATATGAATTGTTCTTTATTGTAAACATGGTTCAAAATATTAATATGTTTTTATCACAGTTGTTTTTAATATTGAGAAAGCACTTGTGTGTTTCGTTTTGGTATGAGCTGGTGCCGTGTGTGTGTTTTGGCTGTCGTGTGGTTTTGATGTGTATATAATATTCCATGTTGCATATTACAACAATGAATGTCATGCATTTTGTGAAATACTTAATGTGGCTCTTTTATTGGCTTCCATAATAAACTGTGGGGATTCACCCTCGTGTCTGTCTGCTGTCTGGTCTCTTGCCCTTCAGACTTTTTAGAAGGCTCCCAGGGTTATCCATACCTCATCAGCAAACTAACCTGGCAAGAAGTTCTAGAATGTGTTATGGAGTCCTTCCCCACATTCCCACACACAGGAAAGGCTGTGGCAAGGTCCAGGACCTGATGGCCAAACTGGCAGCTGGGAGGCCACACCCTTGCCAAGTGTGACTAAGACCAGGTATGCACTGGAAGCAATGACCCAGGGCTTACCCGTCAGTTTGAGCAAGGATGGCTGAAATCCACAGCCATGGCAGGTACAGGAGTGGGGTCCCTGTTTTGACTTCAGCCTCTTGCCTGGAAAGGTGATTTTCCAAATCTGTTCCATGGCTATCACGGGATCAAGTACACCCCACAATCATATGTGCTTAGAAAATGCACTGAACGAAATTAACTAGGTTCCTATATTGCAAATCCTGAGCCTCAGGATGGTCATAGGGGTCAGTATGCCACGGGACTACAGTGGTCTGCGAGCCACTTTGATAGCCGAAATGTCCATTTTCGAAGCTATTCCACAGCCAGACTGTTCCAGAGGCCTTTGAGGTGGCGGCACTGTGGAAAGGCACAGCCTACCCACAGGGCTGGGACAAGCAGTGTCCACGGGGGTTCTAAGGCCCAGGGATGTGGATGTGGTGAGGGACTCTAGGAGCCAGGAAACTCTATTGGTGTCACACTTGGTCTTCTTCTCATATCCTGGGGTGGCCACTGCCAGTCTGGCCTGACAAAAGTCACTGTGCAGTCGTCTTAGTTCTTTCTAATAGTCTGATGAAGGCTCTGCCTAGGCCCTTATTTGTCTAGATCACAAAGACTGGCTACCTAGGCAACTGATAGCGACACTAAGGCAAGACAGTCACAGGTCCTGGCCACCTGTTCTTCTGCATGTCCCGTGCATTCACACCGCTTCCCACCCCTGGGTTTGCTCGTCTCCAACCTTCCTCCTTCCTCAGTGTGGAAAAGGCAGGGGGACCCCCTTTTCCATAAAAGCGGAGCCTGCAGTGTTGGTGACCCTCCAAAGGCCACAGGGGAATAAAGAGAAGGTGACAGAGGGATGGCTGCCCAGTCTACCTCTGCTTTCAAATGCTGAGATTAAAGATCTTTGTGTCCTACTCACTTTTGTTTTTAGACATTTTATTTTCACTTATGCATGCATGTGTATGTTATACATGTGTGTGCAAGCACCAATGGAGGGCAGAAAAGATCGTCAGACCCCCTGAGTTATGGGCAGTTGTGAACCTCTTAATGTGGGTGCTGGGCACCAAACTTAAGTCCTCTGCAAGAGCAGCAAGCCCTCTTAGAGGCTGAGCCACTTCTCTAGTGGGGCCTTGTGTTTTTGACACACCCCCTCGCTTGCCTGGAACTCCCCAAAACGGCAGGCTGGCTGGCTGGCCATCAAGTATCAGGAATCCTCCCGTCTCTGTCTATCCAGTGCCGGAATTATAAGCCTTTTAAAATTTGGATTCTGAGGATTTAGCTTCAAGTCCTCAGCCTGCTATGGGCATAGCCTCCCTACTCCTTGGGATCGGTTTTTATTCTTCATTTTCCTGTGTTTAATGTCCCCTTTTACAGAGATGATGCTGAGTGCCATGTCACATGTTGGGCACCAAAATGTAAATGGAGTTTTTAATTGGTCTAGATAATAAAAAGCCAGAGTCAGATATAGAGGGAGATGCTGAGAGATCTGAGAGAAGGAGCAAGTCACAGCACACCTTACCTCCTTAGCATCTCAGCAGACAAGAGAACAATTTCCTGTTTCTCCCTGCTTACATCCTGTTTCTACCCAGCTACCTTACTTCCTTTCTGTCTGTACAGACCTCAAAACCTCTATGGTTAGCTAGTGGCAAGCTCCATTCTCTGACCCCCAGAGACAAACTTTAGTTGTATAAGCAAGATATCTTATCTGGAAGATAAGATTTCTTCACTGTAGACTCTCTCAGGGGTATTATCTGGGGTTGGGAAAAATGAGGAGGCCTCTCCTGGCTTGGAGACTATATAGCCTGGCTGTGGAGTGGCTTCAGGTGGACCTGGGGCATTGGCATTATCTTCTGGTTTGGAAGGATCCCATGATCCTCCTAAAGGATGGTCAGCAGGGAAAGGTCTCAGGGACAGGGCTCTGAGAGAGTGGATGGCATCAGGGGTGGGGGTTAACTAGTGTCAGCATTCCCCACTCTGGCTTTTTGGTGACCCCTGGGCTAGGGCTAGAGCCTTAGCATGGTAAGCAAGGAGCCGTGCCTGGGAGGTTGGGAGGGGTGACTTGAGTGCAGAGAAAAGTCAGGGCATGTGTGGGCTGCAACCAAAGGACTAAGCATAAGGTGTGTCCCGAGGGGCCGGCTGGAAGCATGAATATAGGGTGGGGAGGCCTGACTAAAGACCTGGGGGTCAGGGCTGGCTCTGGGCTGGCTTTGAGCAGTGCATAGAAATGATGGCACCAGGGTGTGGGAAGGCTGGGGGGCAGGAAGTGATCTCTATGGCTCTTAATGCCACTCCCATCATTGAGGGCCCCGCCTCTGAGGGACAGGGCGATGCCCACCTTGGAGGTGGAGGTTCAGTACCTGCTTTTCAGTCTTCTGGCCTCACTCTCAGCTCCTAGACTGGCATGTTACTTCTTTAGCCTAAAAGTGTGTGCTGTTTATTAACAGAAAACGTCACCTCAGGACCAGGGGTGGGACTGAGCGGGGTGCTGAGAAAATTCCTCTTTGAAGCGCTACCAGACCAGAGTGCAGCTTTCATCTTCCTAAAGAGTTGGAGAGGCTGGGGTTCTGTACAGGTGGAGGAGAGCCTCGTGTACACCCAGGCAACTTCAAGGGACTGATTCTCTCTATAACTGCACGGGTCTTGAGTTCTCTCTATAACTGCACGGGTCTTGAGTTCTCTCTATAACTGCACGGGTCTTGAGTTCTCTCTATAACTGCACGGGTCTTGTACACACTGGCAACAGGGAGAAGCTTGCTGTGGAATGGGTAGTCATGGTCTAAAGACCAGGTTCAGGGCAAGGAACTGTCCCGAAGGAAGGGGCTCCAGAAGGGGGTGGTTCTGGGAGAGAGGTTCCCCAGCAGGACATGCTTCTAGGAGAGGGGTGCCCCAGGAGGGAGCTCCAGCAGCCCCTTGGCGTGTTGTGACAGGGAGAGGTATAGGCTAGCCAAACCAGTCACCCACGGTGAGTCAGGCTTCTGGCAGACAGCCCCTAGCCCAGGGCGTCTGTGACTCAGCTACTGACTGACAGGCTGTGGACCCACAGTGAAAGTGCTGGGAAAGGGTGGCACTGAGGGTGGCCCGCCCTGGTGCCCCAGGTGTCCAATGCATCTCCTTATTCCTTCCCATCCTCCATCATGCTCCGCTAACCTCTCAATATCCCATGGTGGGGAATCCACCTCCCAACATCCCACTGGCTGGAGATCCATGTCAAGGGTCAAAGATTTCCTGTCACTCAGCTAGACCCAGGCTACAGCTCAGAGGGATCCTAGGAGCTCAAGAGGGTCAGGCCCAGCTCAATACCTTCCTGTCTTCCTCCCCCATTCCAAGTACCAAGTATGGTCCCCTTTCTCTGGACTACAGGGCAGGACATAGTACCCAGTAGCCAATCACAAAGCCTAATCCCTTTCCACAACCTATCAGAATCTTCCTTGGGGTCACTATTGTCAAGGGAGGGAAGACTGGAAGCTGCATGGAAGGGCTGTGGCTTAAAGGGAGTAGGAGACCCTTTGAGAGGGAGATGGTGGTAGAAACGGCGTCTCCATAAGAGAGGATCTGAAACTGGGAGCATGGGGGGCGTGGAGAGAGAGTTAGGAGAAAGAAAAGGGGAGAAGAGGAGTGGGGAGGAAGACATGAGGGACCAGGAACATTGAGTCAGGGGAAGAATAGAGGAGAGCAAGAAAAGAGATACCTTAATAGAAGGAGCTATTATAGGCGTAAAGAGAAATCTGGTACTAGGGAAATGTGCAGAGATCCACAAGGATGATCATAACTAAGAATCTAAGCAATAGTGGAGAGGCTACTTTAAAAGTCCTTCCCCTATAATGAGATTAATGAGTATCTTTTTTCCCCTCAATGTATGTTTTTATTTAAATTAGAAACATGAATGCTTCACATATCAATCCCAGCTCCCTCTCCCACCCCTCCTCCCTTGTCCCTCCACCAGCTCCCCCAGCCCCCCACCCCATCTTAAATGCCATCCTAGAGCCTTCATCCAGCAGCTGATGGAAACAGAAGCAGACTTCCACGGCTAACCACTGAGCTGAACTCCTGGAATTCAGCTGTAGAGAAGGAGGAGGGATGAACAAAGGGGTCAAGACCATGCTGGAGAAGCCCACAGAAACAGCTGGCCTGACCAAGTGGGAGCACACGGACCCCAGTCCTAAAGCTGGGGAACCAGCATGGGACTGAACCAAGCCTCCTGAATGTGGGTGTCAGTTAGGAGGCCTGGGCAGTCTATGGGACCTCTGACAATGGAACCAGTATTAATCCCTAATGCACAAATGGAATTTGGGAGCCCATTCCCCATAGAGGGCTACACTCTCAGCCTAGATACACGGGGGAGGGCCTAGGCCCTGCCTCAAATAATGTGACAGACTTTGATTCCCCATGGAAGGCCTCACCCTTTCTATGGAGCAGAAGAGGGATGGGATGGAGGTTGGTGGGGGGCCTGGGAGGATGGGAGGGAAATGGAACTGGGATTGATACATAAAATAAGATTGTTTCCGATTTAGATAAAAAGGAAAAACTTTACCAAATTATAATTTTAAAAAGAAGGAAAAAAACCAGAGAGGATCCAGAGATGGTGCTGCTGGAATAGCTCGGAAGGACCCAGAAGGGGCAGGGATCAGTGTGGGAGGACGGCCAAGGCTACGGAGAACTGGTGAAAGGTGACTGTCTTTCTCAGCAGACTGCCCTCCTCCGGCCAGGAGCCATTACCCCGGTCTCCTGGGCACTGGACTAGTTTTAGGTGAGCCCTGGAGAA